TTTATCAATTATTATTTAATCTTTTGATTGCATATAATTTAATTTAATATTGACAATTTATTATGCATTTTTATATATGTAATTTATATTTATTCCTAATTTTTCACAGATTTTATTAGAACGTATATTAGGATTGACAACCACAAAAAATACGGGGATTAGCATAGCCGGCGATTTGATTGCCTACGCAGCTGGTTCTGTCGTCGTGTTATACAATCACAAGAAAAATAAACAAGTTGGCTTTTTACATGCGTCATCAACAGCATTACCTACTCCACCCACACAACTATCCGCAAATACTGCACCATCATGGTCTGGTGCTTTTCAAAATCGACACACAATAACAGGAGACGGATTTGCGAACCCTTTGATAAATTCGTTAGGTATTCTCGATCCAGCCACTGCTGTTGGCGCATCCTCGGCTGCTAGTTCCCCTAAAACAGCTGTTAGTAATAAAGCAAAACCGATATCGTGTTTAGCTTTTTCACCGGATGGAAATTATTTGGCTGTTGGTGAGGTAATTGTTTCGTCTCATTTAAATACGCTTACAGTTTTTTTATAAATTCCACAATTTATTAATTAATATTACTTCTATTCTTTAAATATGAAAAAAATAGACTGGTCATCAACCCAGAATTTTGATCTGGGATGTTATAACTAAAACACTAGTAAATGAATTAAAAGGACACAAATATGGTGTATTAGCTTTGGCATTTTCACCAAATATGAAATATGTTGTGTCTTTGGGATTTCAAGTAATTTTGTTTTTTATTCAATATTTTATTTTTTTATTAAAAATTATTAACACGAAGGATTTTATTCTTTAGCATGATGGATATTTAAATGTATGGAATTGGAAACAAGGAATTAAATTGGCGTGTAATAAAGTCACAACAAAAGTTCACACAATAGCATTTAATCGAAGTGGATCGTACTTTGTTACTGCTGGTTTAAGACACGTAAAGTTTTGGTACTTTGATTCCAATGGAAATTTACCTAAAAAACCAGCAGTAAGTTTTCTAATTTTTTATTAATAAAAAATAATCAAATAGCTAACGGATATTATTATAACAGGGTCAATCAATACAAAAATCATTAGTTCAGGTGCTGGATGGACGGTCGGGAATATTGGGTGATTTAAGAGATCATAATTTTGTCGACGCAGTGTGCTGCGCGAAATCCGAACACACTTATTTTGTCACATCAAGTGGTTTACTATGTATGTTTACCGAAGGGAGGATGATGGATAAGTGGGTTGAATTACAGGTTGGTAAATAGTCTGTTAATAAGCCAATATTAATATATAAAGAAAAAGCACTTAATATGGAGAGATAAATATATAGGTTAAAGGTGCATACTCCATAGATGTAAGCGAACAATATATTGTATGTGCATGCACAAATGGCATAATCAGGTGAGCGTGTGAAGTAAATATGCTGAATATTTTCAAGCGAAATTAAATAATTATTGTTTTCTCAGACTTTTTGAGCCAATCACCCTCAAATACCTGGGCACGCTTCCAAAACCACACCCACTCGGTGTAGATCTAAGCCTACAAACTGGAAACACATATCAAGGAAATAGTAATCCCAATGACATATATCCAGACACGGTTGCCGTAAAACTGGATCGGGAAACCGGAAAACTAACGTGTTTGTACAGTGATCGAAGCATATTTATTTGGGATATAAAAGACATTAAAAAGATTGGAAAATATCGAAGTTTTTTGTATCATTGTGATTGTATATGGGGAGTTGAGGTAAGCATTAGATTGTGATTTCAGATAAAAATAAAATGATCGAGCTAAATTAGAAAAATATATATATTCTTACTTAGATGATTCCGAATAGAGATTCAACTACTTCAACATTACCAGAAAATACATTTGTCACATATTCGTCGGACGGAACCATCCGATTTTGGAATTTGGATGCGAACATTACTACTAATAGCAATAGTGTACAAAGTCCAACTCATATAGATGCTATAGTAAATAATATTAATCCGTTATCGCCTGTTACACCACCAGGAGGAGGGACATCAACAGGAGTAAGAAAAAATATATACAGTAAAGAATGCTTGAAAATAGTATATGTCGATCCAGACGGGACTTTTCGAATGAGTGCTACAGGGAGTAATCCAAATGTTCAAGGTACTTTTATGGCGTCATTCAATCGATAATTAAATGAAGTTTGATTGAATATTTTTTTGGTCCTTCATTTAGAATTAACAGATCCGATTAATTCTGAATCCGGAATTCGTGTATTGAGAATCAGTCCTGATGGCAAGTTAATGGCATCGGGTGATCGAGGAGGAAATCTTCGGTAATAGAAATAAATTTTCGCAGTTCATTGTTCCTCTTGCAGCTTTTACATATTATGTTGACTTAGTATATTTGGTTTTAACTAAAATTAGAGTCCACGATTTGGAAAATTTCAAAGTAGTAACATACCAAGAAGCTCACGATGCCGAAATTCTGAGTATCGAATTTTCTGAAGGTCGTGCAACGGGAGCACCATATCTAATAGCGACCGCGAGTCGAGATCGAATACTGCATATTTTTGATATAAATAATAGTTTCCAGCTGATACAGACGTTAGGTGATCATTCTGCGGCGATAACAGCTGTGAAGTTTACTAATGATGGTGGCAGATTGATTAGTTGTGGTGCAGATAAGAGTATCATATTTCGAAGTCGACAGCATGTAAGCTTTTTAATTTGATTCACAATAAATCTTTTTCCTTGGTGAAATTTAGAAAAATGTGACGTATAAATATTATTGAAATGCTATTCTATAAAATTTTTCATGGTTTTAGTCTGGTGATGCTCCTTATTATGTCACCTATCATAATATATCGGGACGTGCAACTGTATTCGACATGGACATTGATGTTTCAAACCGATACATCGCAACGGTATCTGGTGAACGTCGTCTAAACGTCTACCACATCGAATCTGGCAAAAATGTCCGCTCCTACAAATCAGATACACCCGACGAAATTAATACTCCAGATCAAGGAAGCCTTCAAAAAGTGAATTTGGACCCTGGTGGTGTACTTGCTGTAGCCGGCGGATCGGACAAGAGTATACGTCTATTTGATTTCGCAAATGGGACGATACTTTCAAAAGCGTTGGGTCATTCCGAATTGATCACCGGCGTGAAATTCACGTCGGATTGTCAGCGCATTGTGTCGACTTCTGCTGATGGTTGTATTTTTGTGTGGAAGGTTTCGGATGAATTGGTAACGAAAATGAGGAAAAAGTGGTTGGATCGAAGTGGTGTGAATGGTACTAATTTCTTGGGCAGTACTTCGCCTATTCCTCAAGATTTACCGAACCCTGTTCAAACGGCGCTCAGAACTACAATTCCGCCGGCCCAGAGACCTCAAACAATGTTTTCTGAAACAGCGCCAAATCAAAATGAAGATAGTAATAGTTATCTTGAAGGATCTGAATTCGTAGTTAGAAAACCAGTAAAAAATAAAAGATCCTTTAATTCTCTCCCCTTGCCCGAAAGTCATCATGAAGATGGAAACAGCACAACTTCAAACACAACTTCCAACACTTCTACTCCTCCCACACCCACAACAAATTCATCATCATCAACCTCACCACTTACCACGAATATTAATACTAATAACAAAAGGTTATTCTTAAAAAGACCGACATCGTTTGCAAACGATGGTTCTTCCTCGACAATGCGTAATCGGATACAAGCCCATACTCAAATTCGACCTGTTTCCGATATTTCTATAAGTAGACTTCCACGCATATTTCCTAATGCCAATAACGGAAATAATGAATCAAGTTCCACAACCCCGACACCTAAAGGTAATAATAATAGTACTTGCACTAGTCCGCCACCTTCACGACGTGAATCATGGAAGTTAAATTTACCCAATTGGGCAAAGAGGTCTTTCAAGGATAAGGAAGAAAATAATGACGGAGGAATAGATCAAGAAAAAGAAGGGACAGATAATGATACGGCAAATAATAGTCTCAATAAACCAACTTCAACGCTAACGGCAATATCACCGGTTAAAGACACTACACTAAATCTCGACAAGAAATTGCCTATGATACCAAGATCAACGAATCAGAGACATAAATCACAAAATAAGCTAAGACAAGATTCCACAAATTCATCATTTGGGTTGTCGAAGAACACAGAAGTCTCCGAGAATACTAATATTGCTCCCAGTGAAACACCAAACGAAGGGCTCGACAATATCAATAATATAACTAGTGAGACATCATCAGTTCTTAGTGACAATGGATCATCAATTCCATTCACCGGCCCAATAACGGCGAAAATATCGCCGCCAAGTGCTGAAGATGATGGTGATGGTGATGACGATGAAGATTTATTCTCACCAGCTGAAGATGAACTTCCAGGTGATGAATCTTCTTATGAAGACACGGAAACTTTGTTCGTTGAGACGGGTGGATACGACGATGACGATGACGACGAAGACGATGAGGTGAATATGGATGGTATGCTTTCGACGAAAAGACGCCGTAGGAGTAGTAGTTTTGCTGCAAACATAAAAACTGCCGGATTTTCTGCAGGCATATCAAAATCAGCATCCGACAACGAAAAAGATGTTGAAGTGCTTGCAGAAGATGATGAGGAAAATCAAGAAGTACTAGAAGGAGACGATGAAAGAGAGGACGATGACGAAGAAGAAGGAGAAAGTGGTGATGATAACACAAAGAAATTAGAAATGTACCTTCAAAGTCCCGTTGAACAAGGCTTTAACAAAGATCATAGTATGCGAAACGAAATGGATTCAGGTGATCAGTTAGTCAATGAACAAAAAAAGAAAAAACGAGAAAGTCTCACCTATAAATATCTTTCAGGTGGTCATCAAAAGAATTCATCGCAAGATTCAAGTGGACGAAATAGTTTGGTTGAAGCATTTTCAAGAATGTTTATGGGAGGAGGAAAAAATAATACGGAAAATAATGATGGTACTGTTATTGTTGAAGATGAAGATGAAGCTCATGCCAATAAAGACGCTGTTAAACAAGCGCTGGACATATTGGAAGGGAAATCAGTTGATAGTGATGCCGTGAGTACAGAATATAAAACCGAAATAAAAAATGATCCGAATATTAACAACAGTACCACAAAACCGGACCTTGTAACTTTATACGCTGTGGATGAAACTATTTCAACACCTTCTTCTCCTTTAATATCAGAATCGTCGACTTTGAAAGATGCTGAGGATGACAATAAACGACGCATTGAATTCGTATCATCTGATCAAATAAGTCTAGAAACTACAAAAACATTTTCAGCAGAGCTGTCACTCGAGCCACAAGATGATATAAAAAAGAATGATATGGAATTATCTCAAAATGACGATATTGTTGATGCTGAAGTTGATATTGCCAAAGAAAATCATAATCAAGAGTCAAAAGATATTGTCAAAGAGATTCATAATCAAGAAACAGAAGATATTACCAAAGAGAATCATCATCAAGAATCAAAAGATGATTATGATAATAACGTATCCTCATCGAATCTTTTAGAAGAAAATATAAAAGAGAATGATAACGCTGAAAAAAGCAATAAAGGATTAGAATTTGAAATGACTATTAATTCCGCCTCATCTACTACTGATATTAATAGGAGAGATCAAGTCTTGTTATCACCTACTAAATTGGAGAATGAAGGTACGAATTATTTATTATCGTTAACTATTAATTACATTGGTAACTTAGGAGTTGTTTATTTATTACCTAGATTTGGCTACACCAACCCGTTCTCCATTAAGCAGCTCACATGATGGTATGTTAATTCATAAATTTTTAGAATATACATATATTGAAAATTTGATTAACAATTACCTTAATAATTTGTTGTAAATTAGATTCTCTTTTGAATCGATCTTTGAGTATGGTTGGCAAAGAGAACCCTGATAATTTAGCCGAGATAGAAGATATTGATCTCGATGAAGAAAAAATCTTGAAAGATGTCTATAACATGACAGTAATCACCGAACGAATGCTTGCAGTTTATAAGAAGGCGTCTAATTTCAATAATGAAAATATTACCAAATTGATATCTGAAAGCTTGAAAGGGATCACTGGGGATATACAAGATTGCTTCGGTGTTGTGGTTAAGGAAAAAGTTGAAGCGGAGGATAAGAAAACGATTCAAGAAGAAAGTGAAAAGAAAGAGTTAGCGGCAGAGAAAAAAGAAGAAATGGACAATGATAAAACAATAATCGTTAATATTCCACAACCTATCCAACAGGAGACAACTGTTGTAGTTGCAGATAACACTATTAATATCAATAATAGTAATTTGGAAGACGAAGATGAAGGAGATGCAGATTCTAATGTTTCATATATGACTGCACTGACTCATCATCATGAATCGAGCACCGTGCCGACTCCTTCCCACGTACGATCACTATCTACAGCCAGCAACACCCATACCAATAACAATACCTTATCCTCATCACCACCAACAAACTTATTACCACTTTCTTTAATACCGCAAATACCAACTCCATCACAACTACAACTACCACCAACTCCATCTACAACTTCGTCGTCCGAAACAATTCAACTTCATCAACACCAATTAACACAAGAATACGCACAAAATTTGTTGGAATGCTATTCTGATAAATTGATGGAAATGGTTGAAGAAAAATTGAATTCAAAATTCGTTAATCAAAACAATAACCGGAAAAATAGTCATAATAGTAATCATAGCGTCAACCCTAACGGGTCAGGGTCTAATAATTCTAATGGAATTGTTAATGGGGGGGTCTCGTTATCGTCGTCTAACAACAACAATATCGGATCCAGTTCTGCTAAAGGAGTAAAAGCAAGATCCGGAAATATACCAGTAGTTATTGGACGTACGAAAACTTCAAAATCACGGTTTGGATAGAAATGTATATAATATAAAAATAGACATTTTGATTAAACTATATATAATATATATACACACACACGTGTGTGTGTGTGTGCAATTAAAAACACATTACTGGAGAACAATGGTTATATTGGTGATAATAATAAGCAATACATAATCATGTGCAATAATATTACATATAATTATTACTTGTAACGTAGACGTCAGGTTTAATTTATTAATAAACATATACTTTAACTGTTGCTGAATGATATTAGCAACAATTTAATAATTGATTGTATATGTATATAATTAATTAAAATATTGTCAAAAATACAATTTAAATATAAAATCCAAATTGATTTATATTTTTTGTTTTATTACTTTATTATTACTTTATTTGATTATTATTTATTTACAAATTTATTTCTTGATGTTTAGTAATTTAGAAATTTATTTAGTTATATAGTTTTGTATTTAAAGTTAATTTAAATATTTGTTTTTATATTAATTATTTTCTTATTTTTGCTTTTCAGATAAGTATTTCTCTTGAATAGATTAATATTTTTTTAATAATATTAAAGTTTTAATCAAATTAATTAACTTTTTTATTTATTTAATAAATCTGAGTTTTTGTTTTTTAATTATTTTTTTAAATTTATCCTGAATTTTAAATAATTTATTAAATAATAAATTTTATTATATTTTTATTTTATAAAATATATTTTACATAATATTATTTAATTATTTAATTTATTATTTATAATGATATCAAAAGTAATATATTCTTTTTTATAATCATCTTTTTTAAGTTTTTCAGTTATCAATTTATTATAAATAAAAAAAATTCTTTATAATTACATTTTTCTTTAGTTATCTAATTTTACTTTTTCAAGTATAATAATTATAAAGAAATCTGATTAAATATTAGAAATTAAATTTATTAGAAAAATTAAAATTTTTTTTTATATTAAAATTTATAATTTTATTAATTATATGTCAATATAAAAAAATTTATATCTCAGATAAATATTAATAGATCATTTTTTCAAAATAAAATTTTAATTCTATTTTATTTAATTAAGTTATTTGATATTAAAATTTATTTAAATATAAAAATTTTTATTATATATCTTTTATAAAAAAAATTTTTATTAATAATAACTTTTTTTAAT